CCTTCGCTGAGTTGTGGAGAACTACCGTCTTCACCCGAATAGGACGCCCGGTCGTTATCGCTGCATCTGCAGTGGACTGAAAGTTGCGCCAAATACAGCTCCAGTGAATTTGGCACAACTTTCGGTCTATAATGACCAGGCGTTCTATTCGGGTGAAGACGATCGACGAATATCTTATCTCTACCCACAACTCTATCGAATCCCATCACCACGCTTTTACAGACTTGTCCAAGAATCAGGAGAATATTTACCCCGGCGGATCTGCTCAGGCTTACGATAAACCCTGGTAACAAGGAATGTGGTCCTGTTCGCAGAGACCGATCCGTCCGAATTCCGATGTACTGCAATGCCGACATGGATGAATAGCCACAAACTGAGGGAAAGAAAGGGCTGTAGCCAAACGGAGGGAAAGACGGCCGCCGGAGTCTTCTCCCAAACACAATGCCACCATCTCCTCCCGAACACCACGCTCTACCTTTTTCTCTCCGGAACCACTCCGGAACCTGCTCCTCGCGAACACATGCCATCCTCCTGGGTCTCCCGTATCGGGACAAAGAGTTTGGATAGATTCAGGATGGTGCGGCATTACGTTTCAGGGGAGGGCCCTGAGGGGAAAAATTGACACACATGGTTAGTCAAAAGAAGAAGGGCCTTTGTCCCCATAGTAATCTTTTTTTTTTGTTTACCACGTCTAGTGAAATTATTAATCAAACTTTCTTCTTGAGAAAATGAAGATCTTTTGGAATGAAAGTTATGATATCTTCCTCCATTATTTACTAATAAATTAATAATTCTGTTTTTGCAATAATATTCTTTATTCTTACTTTATCTTGTTGTTTATAAAANTCCTCCATTATTTACTAATAAATTAATAATTCTGTTTTTGCAATAATATTCTTTATTCTTACTTTATCTTGTTGTTTATAAAAGATACTTTGCTATAAAATAAAATAAAATGAAAAATAAAAAAAGATACTTTGCATATTATGAAACTGATAGACTTGACCTGACAAGATCCAAATATGTCCTGTATTAGATATAGTCCAATTAGTTTTTTTTTCTTGACTATACTTTATCGAATTTAATTCTTGCTAGGAAGAATGACCATGTTGTGGCAGTTCCACCTAGGAGGTAATGAGCTACTCCTACAGCACGTCCTTGTAGAATACTCAAGGCCCTAGGCTGAATAGCAGGAGCAAGTTTTAAGTTTTAACTTATTATGAGCCCATACAATTGATTCAATAAGCTTTTGACAATAACCACGCCCACTGAATAGAAATACAAGACTAAAAGCCCATACAAAGTGACCCCTCACTTTGGAACACCTATTGGAAGTAGGAGGGGTCGGAGGGGGGATAGAGAAAGAGGGGGAAGAAGACTTTCATACGATGATGATCAGCAAGGGTGAGAAATTTCAGCATGTAGAAGAAGATTGGGAGATGGCGATCTCGAGGGAAGAGAAATATGCAAGGGACAGAAAGCTGAAGGGGAGCACAGAGCGACAAAGGTACGGCCAGCCAGGTGACCACCCACATTTGCATGCTCCCTTTACACGAACAGAATGCCTGGTCGTTATAGCTGATGTATCTAGACTGAAAAGTAGCCGCAAACACAGCTATGATGCCCGTGTGGTTTTCGGATGATCACCGTAGTTGTCGGAAAAGCTTGAAATTCAGCTCGTAAAAAAGTTAAAACCTAAGAGGAATATTTTTTTGGCAGGGTGAAAATTAACCCCCAAAAGTTAAAAAGCCCAACACCAGGGGCAGCTACTAGAGGTGGCTGCTCTTATCACCCCCTCTAGTATAGG